ATGGATATGCGAATCGTATTTGTTTTCATTGAGCGACAAAGGCCACAGGACACATCCCTATGTAGCCACAGACAGTTGGCTTGCTTTTAAATAAATGCATGTTGGGCTTGTTTCATAGAACGTAGCCCCTTCGAGGCTTTCCATAACATCTACTCCAAGCCTATCATGAGTCTCAGGTTTTACTGAGGTCCAGAAGGACACATTGCAAAACTCATACTCTGCCTCTTACGAATCCCCACAGGGTATTTCTCCTCATCAATGGCCGCTTGGCCTATGCACCTTGGGACCCACCTACCCCCAGCGCCTTGTCCTTGTGTTCTCAGACCCGCTCAGGTCTGCCTCTTTCCACTCTTTGCAGACTCTTCCCAGTCACATCATCTCTCCACCCCAGGTGCTATCTGACTCAGAAGCCCCAGAGAGCCAGCCCCAAGCAACCTACTAAAAGGATGCACCCACACCAAAGCTGGTCTTCTCTGAGATTGGATTTTTCCGTCTAGCTCCTTAGAAAATACGTTTTTCTCTATATGGTCATACTCAGTTTGAAAGCACCAAACTGAAAGCTTAATTTTATTGTTTTAGTTTAGAGCTAGAAGGCCTTTATTCTTTAGATGATGATGCTGACAATCACAGATGAATGAAGAACATCTGCTTTTCTTTCTGTCATTTCTCAAGCACTTATGTGGTATCACAACGAGCCAGATACTGCTGTCTTTCAAAAATATTAAGTCATGGAGTCATCGAGAACCACCTCAGGAGACATTTCTGACCACTACCATCACCACCCATGGACTGCAGCTCAATTCTGACACTGACTACCTATAGCATGGACCCCACAAATTCAGGGCAAGGCTGTCCTCCCTGCAGACACAGCCACCACTTTGGGAGTCTCCATGCTCACCCACATTTCTGACCCACGAGCTACCAGCTCAGGGGCTCCCACAGCTCCCTCAGGTTTAATAATTCATTAGAACAACTCGCAGAGCTCAGGAATGCACTATACTTACTATTACAGCTTTCTTAGGGAAGGTACGAATCAGGATCAGCCATGCACACAGACACGCAGGGTGAGGTGTGGGAATCAAGGCACATCACACCCCAAGCACACAGAGGTGTTCACCAACCAGGAAGCTCCACTGGGCTTGCAGAGTCTTCCTTGAGGTTTGGTTCCGTAGACATGATGGCCTCCCGGAGGCCAGGCTGGCTCACTGCTCAGTCATTCCATCCCAGCACTAGGTTTTCTGGTATGACCAGCCCCCACCATGAGGCACCTTGTGAGCATAAATTCAAGTGTGATCCCAGGAATCCCGGACAACAGAGCCAGTCCTATGGCCTGGGAATCCCAAGGGCTGAGCATCTTCCCTCCCAGGAAGCAAGGAGAAAGGCCCGGACAAATTCTTTACTATACAGCACCCACATTTTACACTGGAGGCAACATGTGGCAAAGACTCTGACTAAACTGCTGAAGTCAGAGAGCCAGCAGGTGCAAGCTAGCATCTGAACCAGGATGTGTGGCTCTGGGTCTCCGTCCATAAGGACCACAGCACACGGCCTCACAGGTCGCCTCGGGGAGTGCGTGTAGACACTCAGAGCAAGACAGACCAAGGGTTTGATAAATAACATGGCCCCAGATGGGAAATATGGCCCCATGTTGTTTCATTTGACTTGAGCTTCAGCTTAAAAGCAGATCAGCGGTCAACTGTATTGCGAGGAGCCTTCATGCTTCTCATTTCTGCAGATGGGAAATGTCTTCCTAATTACAGACGATCTCCTTAAGTTGTCATACGAAGAAACACTTATGCTAACTTGACAATACTCCACACCTAAAGTTGACTGACCATAACAGGGAAACTCAGATCCACAATCTCCTCTTTCAGGCCAAATTAGAAGTTTTCAATTTGAAATAAAAATGACCTCCTTGCTGAAACAATGGGAGAGTGGGTACATGTGTGTGACATGAGTCAAGTTACTTGAGTTCTGAGTCTCAGACAGGGATGCATAACATGGGGATAGAACAGAAAGTGTTTGTGTTACCGCTGAAACTAATAATACACTGTATGTTAACGAAATGGGATTTAAATAAAAAATTTTAAAAAGAAATCTTTGTGTTGTGTGTGTCAATATACTGAAACTGAAAAAAATTATAAATAAAGAGAAACGTCACAGGGATACGATACAGCAAAGGGAATATAGTGGATGATACTGTAATGGCGTTGTCTGGTGATGCACAGTGACTACACTTGTAGTGAGCACGGCATATAGTGATGTTCAATCACTATGTTGTACGCCTGGAACTAATGTAACATTGTGCGTCAACAATATTCAAATTAAAAAATTAACAACAACAAAAAATGAAAGAAAGAGCATACTTGTGTTGTTCTGCGGATTAAAGGCAATGACCCACACAAACACTCTGCACAAATCCTGATGTCTGGTCGCCACATGGGAACCGTCAACTGTTGGCGTGAATCGCTCAACACCCACAACTGTTCAGCAAATGACTCCACCCCGCCAGGTACTAGGCGGAATCGCTGTGGATTCCAACTCCAGGACCCCATGAAATAGAGTACTCGCAGCAGACATTGGCACACATCAAACGTTCCAGGGATGACAGACCCTGGCAGGGCATTCCCATGTTCCAACACCACAGGGCGCATGCCACCACAGCCGTCTTGTTTGTGGCGACCACGGCATGCACAACACTGAGATCCAAGGCAGGACACGAGAGACAGCACGGGGAGGAGACCAGAAGGCAAGAAAGAACAGAAGGGGGAATGGCAGTCAAGTACGACAACAGTTGTTGCAATTTTAAAGCAGACAGAGGAAGCCTGAAAGCTTTACAGACAGGAAAGACTGTCGCTGGGAGGGCTCTGGAGTTAAGTCTAGCCTGCTCATGAACTTGAAAGTGAGGCAACAAACAGACCCCTTAAAATTGTTCACTTAACAGAAGATTATCTTAGAAACATGGAATATGAAATAATTCAATAATACAGGATTTTCCTCGTGATTAAATGTTTCACCAAAGACAGGGTGGCTGTTAACAGTGGAGTATAGCGGGAGTGACGTTCTTATCCTAACTCATGATTCAGCACACAGAGCCTCTCAAGACAACAGGAGTTGATACTGGAAAGAGAATTTGACTTGTATGCTGAGATATCAGAAACCACTCAACTATTTGTTAAAAATTTAGCAAAATATATCCTAGGAAAATGTAAAAGGAGTGCGTTAACTATAGAAGGCAAAGGAATAGGAAGTTGGATTGAAAATTGAAAGATAGGCGATAATAATTCAGATGAGGTAATGTGGGTTAAGTCCTCAGAAAGAGGGCTGCTGATAAAAGGTGGGAAAAGAGACTTTCTGAAGATAAACACAGATTACATGGAGAAGAAGAGAAGTCTGAATCAGTTCTTTCAAATCGTATGCTTCTCATACCGATGAATACACACTATCCTTTCTTGGGCAAAGTAATGAGATCAAAGAAGCCACGAGCTTCATGGGAGTGCTTGCTCCTACCTGGAGCCAAGGAAAACTGGCCAACGTGACAAGGCCTACTTGCTCTTTCCCCTTCTTCCAGGAGTTTTATTTTGTTCTAATTCCTTCTTCACCTTCCTAAAGCTGAGGAACTTCTAGAAAGAGCTGAAGGGCAGGCTTCACATTTAAAAATTCAGGTTATCAAACCATTCAAGAAGGCGCTTGGTTTAAACCAGGGCAACTTGGATTTTCACAGAACAATAGCATTTGTTTATTTTAATGGAGGGAAAGGATAGAAATGGTTTGGGGAAAACTCAGTGATGCTGAGGTGAGGAGAGAGACAGAAGACCAAACCTTCCTGCACACCGGGGCTAAACCACTGACTCCAGCAACTAGTGTGTGAAGAAATGCTGCTTTGTAAATGATGCACAAGAGATCTGTGAAAGAAACACGTGTATGTTTTCTGTTAATCCTGCCAATGCTCTGATTCATTTCATATATGTTCTCTATCAAAAGAACAACGTGTTAGGGGCACCTGGCTGGCTCAGTCGGTTGAACGTCCGACTCTTGGTTTCGGCTGAGGTCATGATTTATGTTCCCAGTTCATCGTGGAGTCTGCTTGGGAGTCTCTCCCTCTCCCTCTCCCCTCTGCTTCCGCTCTCTCTAAAATAAATAAATAAATTTTTAAAAAAAGAACGGCGTGTTAAAAAATGTTGTTTTCAACCTGAAATATTTTTTCCTTGTGTATTTCCTTCTTTTGTTGAGATAGGATCCACCTAGCACAAAATTCACACTTTTAAACTTTACAATCCAGTGCCTTTTTTTTTTTAGCATATTCACAAATTTGTGTAAGCATCACATTTACTTCTAGAACATTTCCATCATCCCCAAAAGAAACCTCATATCCAGTAAGAGTCATTCCCCATTGCCCCCTGTCCCCACTCCTGGCAACCACTAATATCCTTTCTGTTTCTATGGACTTGCCCATTCTCCACATCTCATGCAAATGGGATCATACGATATGTGGCCTTTGGTGTCTGGCTTCACTCGCTCAGCATAACGTTTTCGAGGTTCATCTTTGTTGTAGTATATGTATCAGTATTTAGGAGATATTTTAGACAATCGGAAATCGTTAAGTTTTGTACTTTAGAGAGAAAAAAGTGAATATTTGTATTTCCTACTTGAGGAATTTAGCCATTACCATAGTCACTAGGAATCTTACAAATCAGTTTAGCTAAAAACGTGGAGTATGTTTAAAATATCATCTTTGGTCTCATGGTGACAAACCTGATCTAATAACTAAATAAAATAATAGTGTTTAAAAGAATTCAGAGGATTTCTCAGAAAATTAGGCTAAACTCATCATTGTCAACAAGTATTTTTTGGTAAAGATGTTAACATTCAGCTTCAATTTAGTTATGAGTCCATCTTAATACTGACTATAAAATGGTCAGCAGGGATGGCAGAGAAAATAATCAACTCTTCCATGAGCAAGATCTACGATGTTAGCACTTTACAGTGAAGGCACTTACAGCTTGCTGGAGAGAGCTGGGAGGTCATGGAGGATCTCTTCATAGGGCTCCTCGGAGGCCAAGGCAGGAACAGATAAATGCTCTTTTACCCTTTCTTCCCAGGCAACTTCGGCTTTCAACAGCATTTCCTCAATAAACTCAGATGCGGCGATATCTACAAGAAACAACAGGAACATCAGAAAAAGCGGATGCTGAGATCACAGAAAACTGTTCCCTTTCAATGATTCTGGTGTGCTTAAAACATGAAAACTGATCAACACCTAGAGCAAAATGAAAAACACTAAAAGTTTATGGTAGGAATAAAATTGCAGGACTGCCATTTTAAAAGACGATTGTGTTTTGTATCAGTGGCATATTTAATTACAAATGAAATGAAAAAATATAAAAATAATATTCACCGAGTGGTGATGTATAAAACGTAAAATCACGGAGAAGCTAAGCTTGAAAGAACCTGATGTCATTTTATTCTCAGTACAACTCTTCCCTCATCTTGATGAATAAGAATCAAGTTGGTGAAAATAGTTACACATTCCCAAAGACCGGGTTACTATAAAACTTGGAGTAGGCATTCTAGAAGCATCCATTTGTAGATGTACAAATAAATACATAGTTGCACTATGAAAACAGTGAGTCTAACCTCTGTGATCTGTTTTTCCAATCTGAACTACAATTATATTCCCTTATACAATATGTGTTAACAGTAACATCTGAATATACTGGGGCAGCAATATAGATAGATGGGCATGAATCAAATTAACACTTACTTTTTTTTTTAAAGATTTTATTTATTTATTTGAGAGAGAGAGAATGAGAGATAGAGAGCACGAGAGGGAAGAGGGTCAGAGGGAGAAGCAGACTCCCCGCCGAGCAGGGAGCCCGATGCGGGACTCGATCCCGGGTCTCCAGGATCATGACCTGAGCCGAAGGCAGTCGTTTAACCAACTGAGCCACCCAGGCACCCCTTACTAACAATCGAAACTGGAAGTCAAAAGATCTTGAAGAAAAATTCACAATAATAACAATTAGGAACCTAATGGACAAAACTGCTCCTTTTCAATCCTCCTGACTAAAGTGCATGACCACCTGTGTCTACAAATTCGAGTTATGAGGCTTGATGGGCTGGATGAGTTAATTCAGCCACCATAAGAAGATGTTTATGCCAAGATTTTATCACCATTTGCTCTAGGTTAAATCATATCCAGTAACGAGGAGGAGGCAGCTTGGCCTCCTCACCTTGGGTGATATTTCTGTCCCACCTAACAACTACACCCCAAACTGCTTTTGTCCCCCAGATAATTTTTTCTGTATCCACTCCAAATTCAAGGAACACAAAATAGCAAGAATAGAATAGAATACTGATGACGATTTTCATTTGCTTGGTCTACTTTCCTGTTCTCTGTGCTATTATGTTATCCGGTTCATTTTTCTTGCTGCTGGATTAGATGTTGGTACCTCCTGCATTTACTTGAAACTCTCACCGCATTATAGCTCTTTGTTCCCTCGTGTGTGAAAGAACTATTTTCCTTCAATCAACAAGTGACCATTGAGAGTCTTCTATCAGCCCATCACTGTGTCTCTCTTGACCAACAAGGCATGGAAAATGGGTTACACTGATGGTGGACTAGGCATGGCCAACACAGGCAAAGTGTCTAAGACAGCTATCCCATCCTGAGGTGGACAGGGCTGAGACTAGACCAGACATTTAGTCACGTCCTGGGCTCTAAGACTGTGGGTTGCCTCGGGTGTCCATTTTGGCACATTTAGGTCTAACACACTAGACCTAAAAGGTATAAGTGTGACACATGGGAGTCCATGTGGTCAAGGATCAATTGTATATTCTCTTCTCTGGGAAAGAAGCCAGGGATATGAACTTGACAAATGTGATCTGTTAGAACTACAGTAAACAGAGGATGTGACATATTTCACAATAAATACATTAAACAAATAGAAAAAGCCCACAAATTTCTATTTGCTCTTTTAATATTTGTCACTAGACATGCTTTTGTCATTAATACTAAGGTTACTACACTATCATTAACATCAGCCTGATTCCAAAGTTTGAAACTATAACACTATCTTAGAGCTTCATTTGTTAAATCTTCAGTTTATTTTAGCAGGTAAGATGAATAAACATTAAACAATATTTAACTCCAATAAAATAATAAGAGCAAATCTCTCATCCTGTCTTAAGCTGGAGGTTTATCATGTAATCATATTCCTGTAAGTACATCCAATGAGAAATCTCAGGCATAATGTGCTTTTAGGTTATTAGAGGTATGGTAACAAGAGTAAGTAGAATTAAGTTATTTTAGCTCAATTATGACCTTCAAGCTTTTCATATTATTTTTTTACCTATGCTACACTTTTCTCTGTTACTTAGAATTTTCATTTTTAATAAACAAAAAACTTCTGAGTAAATTTGTTGTCAAATTATAAAAGCTAGAAAATGAATGCAACATCCATGTTCTTAAATTAGTAGATGAGTATTATTGAAGAACAGTGGTAAAAAGAACTCTAGAAATGTTCAAAAGATACTTATCAGAAATAGTAACATTAAATTAAGATTCTGAAAACTTTAAATTAGCTTGAGGATGTCAGTCTCGATTCCTTGCAGTATACTATCTGTGCTGAAAAAAAAAGATTATTATTTAAAATTACCCTGATGAACAAGTATGTACTTGAAACGATAAGAAACCCATTAAATGACAGCAAAAGTATATTTGAAAGTAAGTGACATTGAAGGAATCACCGTGCAGGAAGTTGAAAACCTCAAAAGCAAATTTCAGGGAAGTACAAGGGCCCCCAATGATCAGAACCATCCTGTAATGCCCTCTTGTGCAGGAGGTGGGCATGGGGGTTTGGGAACAGTGCCCAAATGGAGCATCTGCACAGAGATTCTCAGGGGAGGCTGACTCGCTCGGCAGCCACGTTAATGATGGATGAACAAGTTCCCGTAGGACAGGAAGGAGTCAGTAACCGCTCCATGATCCCAGGATGCTCATAACCTACCTGAGGGCTTCTCTTCATTGCAGTTCAGAAGGTTTGGATTTGCCTGATGCATCAGAAGAAGCTTCACCAGGTTTGTCTGAAACAGTAAAGTTCACTGAAATAAGATTCATCAGGGAGTGGTACACAGGGGTGGTCTCCAGGGCGCTTCCAGCCTGCTGGAGGGAGAAGGCATGAGCATATCCCACCCTAAACGTTTCTTACTCTCTCCGCTTCCAGTTTTCCCAGTTCCTTTTAAAAAGATAACAGACATTCAAACCAAAAATTACTTATCAAATGAGGAATAAATTGCTGGGGATTTGAAAAGGCTCACTTAACGCCTTTCAGGTTTATTTTAGGGCATCTTGTGGGAGGAATTACATGTTATATGTGTTTTGTTTTAATTGAGCGACTCATTAACGTCTCACTGGTCCTGTCCAATCACTGCAGCCCCACAGACAAATATGAACTAAAGTCACGGGGGAGTTAGGAAAACTTAAATGTAACTCGAGCTATAAAAAAAGAAAGCAACTTGATGAGAGGCTAATATATTCTTTAAGTCTTATTATAAAATATAAATTCAAAGAGTATATATATATGTGTGCATGAGCCATTGAAAGAGAAGTAATGAAATAATTTCCAGTGTATCCAACTTTTTTTTAAGATTTTATTTGTTTATTTGAGAGAGAGAGAGAGAGAGAGAGAATGAGAGAGAAAGCATGAGAGGGGGGAGGGTCAGAGGGAGCAGACTCCCCGCCGAGCAGGGAGCCCGATGCGGGACTCGATCCCGGGACTCCAGGATCATGACCTGAGCCGAAGGCAGTCGCTTAACCAACTGAGCCACCCAGGTGCCCTATCCAACTGTTTTTTAAAAGAGTTACTTATTTTAGAGAGGGAGAGCTTGGAGGGAAAAAGAAGAAGGAAAGGGAGAGAGGGAATCCCAAGCAGACTCCCCGCTTAGTGCAGAGCCCAATGTGGGGCTCAATCCCACGACCCTGAGATCATGACCTGAGCAGAAATCAAAAGTCAGACACTAAACTGACTGAGCCACCCAGGCGCCCCCCAACTTTTTAAAATAGGTCATTCATGGTATCTTTCTGTGTTTCTTCCCCAAATTATCCCTCTCCCTATTTCCCAGAGTTGACCACTCTCATGAAATCTGGGCTATTTGGGGCTATGATTTCTTTATATGTTTAACCCTTACGTACAGGAGTACCCCCCAAACAACATATTGCTCAGCTTTATCTGTTTGTGACATTTAGAGAAGTGAAATCCTAGTGTGTATATTCACTGATGCCTTGCTTTCATGACGGCATTCTTGAGAATCTTCAAAGGTGATGGATCGAAACAAGATTTATTCATTTTCTCGGCTGCACATAACTACACCGTACAAATATATCAGAATTAACCTGCCTTCCTCACTGGACATTCAAGCCATTTGCAGCCATTTATTTTTACAAATAACGTTGCTACAAATATTCTCATTTATCTTTCTTGGTGCACGTGAGCAAGGATCTCTCTTCAGGACAGATGCACATAGGACTGAAATTGCTGGGATAAAGGTTTGGACATCATCAAAGTGGCTTAGATAGCTCCAACAGTTTTCCAAAGAGCTCAAATGTCCACCCCCATACCCAACAAGAGTTCCTGTTGCACCACATTCTATTTAATAATTTTGTTATTGTGCATTTACATATCACTAGATTCACATTCCAACATTTGACACTGTTACTTTTTAAAAAGTTAGCTATCATACTGGGAATGAAGAAATATTTCAGTCTACTTTAACTTATTTCCATGATGACAAAAGACACTGAACACCCCTCCATGTGTTTAGTGGCCCCTCCTAGACTTTCTTTGGTGAAGTGTCTGTTCAGGACTTCTTTGCCCATTTATTACTGGAGTGTTTATCTTTGTATTAGTGATTTATGCTCTTATATGTTCTAGATACATCTGTCAGGTATGTGTATTACAAATAGTTCCTCCCGTGCTTGCTTGTTCATATTCTTGAAAATGTTTTTTTAAGACCAGAAGAATATTTTAACTTTGTTTTGCTTTTGTGAAAGTGCAACATCTGTATTTTTTTCTCAAGTGCTCAGTACTCTTTATGTTCAAAATAACTCTTTGCCCACTCAAAGGCCATGACAATACCATACTATATTTTCTCCTAAAGGCTTTATAATTTTAACTTTTATATTTATGGTCCATCTCAAGTGAGTTTTCGCAAATGACAGAGGAAGGTTCAAATTTATTTTGGTCCATCACCCATTCGTTTTTCAGCAATATTTCTTAAAAAGACCTTTTTTCTCTTACTGAATTGTTTTGGTACCTTTGTAGAAAATTAATTGACTATATGTGTTCCTGCATGTTTCACTGATCTATTTGTCTGTCCTTACTACATTTCCTAACTACTTTGATTAGTGTAGCTTATAGCCAGTACTGAAATCTTATAAGTGAAAGACTTATAGTAAGTCTTGAAAAAAGCCTGTAATTTTCTTTTTTAAGATGATTTTGTCTATTTAGGTATTTTGTATCTCCATATAAATTTTAGAATGGGGGCGCCAGGGTGGCTCAAGTCAGTTGAGCGTCTGCCTTCAGCTCGGGTCATGATCCCGGGGTCCTGGGATCGAGTCCCGCATCAGGCTCCCTGCTCCGCGGGAAGCCTGCTTCTCCCTCTCCGTCTCCCCCTGCTTGTGTTCCCTCTCTCGCTGTGTCTCTCTCTGTCAAAAAAAAAAAAAAAAATTTAGAATGAACTTTTCAATTTCTGAAAAAAAGGGTTTAAGATTTTGATTGGAATTGCTTTAAATGGATACCATATTAATTTTGTATGGTTTTTTAAAATATCACAAATTTAGTGGTTTAAATGAAAAAAATATTATCTTACAATTCTGTAGGTCAGCAGTCTGACACAGGTCTCACTGGGTTAAAATCAGGGTGTCAGCAGCACTATGTTTCCTTTGGCTCTCGGGGCAAATGTGTTCCTTGCCTTTTCTAGCTTCTAGAGGCAACTCACGTTCCTTGGCTTGTGGTCCCTTCCCTCATCTTCAAGACAACAATATTGCAGGTGTCTGCCCATTTTTGCATAGGCACATCGCAGGAGGACCCCGAGCCAGGAATGGTTCTCTGCTTTTAAAGACCCACGTGATGAGACTGGGCCCACCTGGGAAATCCAGGAAACTCTTGCCATCTCAAAGTCTGTAACTAATTGCAATTGCAAAGTTCTTTTGCCTTTTCAGTGAACAAACATATTGACAGGTTTTGAGGTTTAGGGTGTGGACATCTCTGGGGGCCACTATTCAGCCTTCCACAAATATCTTAAAAATATTCACTGTCAAAACACATGATTATGGCTTACTCCTCCATTTACTTGGGTCTTATTTAATCCCTCACTGCGGTGTTCCATAGTTTTCAGTGTAGAAATCTTTTGTTAAAATATTTTGTTAACTATATTATTATATATTTTAAGTTTTTAATGCCACTGTAAACAACTTGATAAATGCACTTAATGGGTCTAGTCTTTCCATTATTCTGCTGATTCCTTTGGCCTTCTTATCCTCCTTCCTCCTTCCCCAACTCTGTCCTTTGTTTCTATTTCTTGCTTTATTATATTGATAAGAACGACACTGGCTTTTCCAGTCTTGGGTCTTGCTTTTGTAACATGTGTTGTGGTTCTCCGCTTCGCATCCAGGCACACCAAGGCATCTCCCCACCCACCAATGATTGTTCTTGTTAGAATTTTCATTAAAAAAAATCAATTAGGTTTTAAGTAATCTACTCATTGTTAGCTTTCCCAAAGCCCATTCAAAATTGGCATTTGGTTTTGCAGAACACGGATTCTACCAGTAACATTTAAATTATGTTACAGTGCCTATATGTAGAAGTTTATTTTCATTTCCAAATAGAGAGTTTACTAAAGCAAGAGCCATTCTCTTGAAATCTGAAAGATAAAATATATAGAGCAGATTCCCAGGACATTAAAATAGGTACAGGAAAGAGTTTTGTTTTATATTAAAGATGAGAGTGATGTGCTTGTGTTTAAACCACATGAAAGAGAAGAAGGAAAGGAAGATGGACCACTGGAGGGAAGGAAGGACAAAGGAAGGAAAGGAAGAAGAAAAAAAAAAGCCAAAAATGAGCTAAGACTGCCTTTGGTTTTCCCAAATTTGAAAGAATAGTAATAAACCTAAATGCTTTCGTATCACTGCAAAAATGTCAGACAGACGCCTAACAATCCCTTTGCATTTCTAAATTCAATTCAGTGTGTCCAGGCCTCCAAAGAGAAATGTGTGCCATCACTCAGCAAACCACTTCTCTCCACAGCTTCAACTGGAACCACAGAAAGCATTTCAGTAATAAAAGCAAAATGTTTCCTACATGAAAATCTTTAGCAATAAAAGCAACTCCATTTTATTTCAGGCCCATACAAAGAGGCATTCATGTGTGGAACGAGGACGTTTCTCTCATTTGGGGAATTCCTTTCTTTTTTTAGAGCCAGTTTTCCCCATGTGCTTCCAATCAGAAATCGGAGAGGCACATCACAGAACTAAATTAAACAGGCCCGTGCTAATTTCACTTACTCTCCTCTGGAACATGGAACATTTGCTTTACCCTCACAAAAGACCTTTAGGTAAATTGCTTCCAATGCGAACAGGTTGAGTGCATAACCCAGTAAGAATTCATCACTAGTACAAAAACGTTATAATCACCAAAGGCTCCAGAGGATAAGGTGAGTGAGTGAGTGAGAGAGAGAGAGAGAGAGAGAGAGAGTGTGTGTGTGTGTGTGTGTGTGTTGCAGGTGGTGAGTGTGGAAACGGACACCCTACAGGCTAACTGAAAATGTACTTAAGCTGAAATATAAATCCACACAAGTTTCACTGGATAAGGACTTTATTCATGCTTTGGAAAGTTGTCCTTCAGTGTGGATAAATTCAGCAAAATTAATTCCTCGATGGTCATTTAAATTACCTCTTTAAAGAGTTGAACAATGGCAATGAGTGTTTGGACGTAGCTGGTTTCCAGTTGGGACACTAGAAGAGACTGTTTCACTTGATCTAGTAACAAGAAACTGAAGTGTTAAGGTCCCAGAACTCACAAGGTGCA